CCAACATCTTTCACTCTATGTGGAATGTGTCCAAAAGCATGGACTAAAACAGCATGAGAGAGACCCCCCTGTGACCAGAGAGAGACCAGAGAGAGACCAGAGAGAGACCAGAGAGAGAGACCAGAGAGAGACCAGAGAGAGACCAGAGAGAGACCAGAGAGAGACCAGAGAGAGACCAGAGAGAGACCAGAGAGAGAGACCAGAGAGAGACCAGAGAGAGACCAGAGAGAGACCAGAGAGAGACCAGAGAGAGAGACCAGAGAGAGACTAGAGAGAGACTAGAGAGAGACCAGAGAGAGACCAGAGAGAGACCAGAGAGAGACCAGAAAGAGAGACCAGAGAGAGACTAGAGAGAGACCAGAGAGAGACCAGAGAGAGAGCAGAGAGAGACCAGAGAGAGACCAGAGAGGGAGACCCTAGAGAGACCAGAGAGAGACCAGAGAGAGCCCAGAGAGAGACCAGAGAGAGACCAGAGAGAGACCAGAGAGAGAGCAGAGAGAGACCAGAGAGAGACCACAGAGGGAGACCCTAGAGAGACCAGAGAGACCAGAGAGAGACCAGAGAGAGACCCTACCCTACTCTACTCTACCCTACTCTACACTACTCTACTCTACCATACTCCACCCTACTCTACTCTACTCTACCATACTCCACCCTACTCTACTCTACTCTACTTTACTCCACCCTACTCTACTCTACTCTACCATACTCCACCCTACTCTACTCTACTCTACCCTTCTCTACTCTACTCTACCATAATCCACCCTACTCTACTCTACCATACTCTACTCTACTCTACCATACTCCACTCTACTCTACCAAACTCCACCCTACTCTACTCTACCCTACTCTACTCTACCATACTCCACCCTACTGTACTCTACCCTACCCTACCCTACTGTACTCTACCCTACTCTACTCTACCCTACTCTACTCTACCATACTCCACCCTACTCTACCCTACCCTACTCTACTCTACCATACTCCACCCTACTCTACTCTACTCTACCCTACTCTACTCTACCATACTCCACCCTACCCTACTCTACTCTACCCTACTCTACACTACTCTACTCTACCATACTCCACCCTACTCTACTCTACTCTACTCTACTCTACTCCACCATACTCTACTCTACCATACTCTACTCTACTCTACCATACTCTACTCTACCATACTCCACCCTACTCTATTCTACCATACTCTACTCTACTCTACCATACTCTACTCTACTCTACCACACTCCACCCTACCCTACTCTACCATACTCTACTCTACTCTACCATACTCCACCCTACTCCACTCTACTCTACCCTACTCTACTCCACCCCACTCTACTCTACCCTTCTCTACTCTACCCTACTCTACCTTACTCTACTCTACTCTACCATACTCCACTCTACCCTACCCTACTCTCCTCTACCCTACTCTACCCTACCCTACTCTACTCTACCCTTCTGTACTCCACCCTACTCTACCATACTCTACTCTACTCCACTCTACTCTACTCTACTCTACCCTACTCTACTCTACTCTACTCTACCCTACTCTTCTCTACTCTACCACACTCCACCCTACTCTACTCTACCCTACTCTACTCTACTCTACCCTACTCTACCCTACCCTACTCTACTCTACCCTTCTCTACTCTACCATACTTTACCATACTCTACCCTACTCTACCCTACTCTACCATACCCTACTCTACTCTACCTTTCTCTACTCTACCATACTCTACCCTACTCTATCATACTCTAATATACTCTACTCTACTCTACCATACTCTACCCTACCCTACCCTACCCTACTCTTCTCTACTCTACTCTACTCTACTCTATTTTTCTCTACTCTACCCTACTCTACCATACCCTACTCTACTCTACCTTTCTCTACTCTACCATACTCTACCCTACTCTATCATACTCTAATATACTCTACTCTACCATACTCTACTCTACCCTACTCTACCCTACCCTACCCTACTCTTCTCTACTCTACTCTACTCTATTTTTCTCTACTCTACTCTACTCTACCCTTCTCTACTCTACTCTACTCTACTCTACCATACTCCACCATACTCTACTCTACCATACTCTACTCTACCATACTCTACTCTACCATACTCCACCCTACTCTATTCTACCATACTCTACTCTACTCTACCATACTCTACTCTACCATACTCCACCCTACCCTACTCTACTATACTCTACTCTACTCTACCATACTCCACCCTACTCCACTCTACTCTACCCTACTCTACTCCACCCCACTCTACTCTACCCTTCTCTACTATACCCTACTCTACCATACTCTACTCTATTCTACCATACTCTACTCTACTCTACCTTACTCTACTCTACTCTACCATACTCCACCCTAATCTACCCTACCCTACTCTACTCTACCCTACTCTACCCTACCCTACTCTACCCTACCCTACTCTACTCTACCCTTCTCTACTCCACCCTACTCTACCATACTCTACCATACTCCACTCTACTCTACTCTACCCTACCCTACTCTACTCTACCCTACCCTACTCTACTCTACTCTACCATACTCCACCCTACTCTACTCTACCCTACCCTACTCTACTCTACCCTACTCTACACTACTCTACTCTACCATACTCCACCCTACTCTACTCTACTCTACTCTACCCTTCTCTACTCTACTCTACTCTACTCTACCATACTCCACCATACTCTACTCTATCATACTCTACTCTACTCTACCATACTCTACTCTACCATACTCTACTCTACCATACTCCACCCTACTCTATTCTACCATACTCTACTCTACTCTACCATACTCTACTCTACCATACTCCACCCTAACCTACTCTACCATACTCTACTCTACTCTACCATACTCCACCCTACTCCACTCTACCCTACCCTACTCTACTCCACCCTACTCTACTCTACCCTTCTCTACTCTACCCTACTCTACCATACTCTACTCTACCTTACTCTACTCTACTCTACCATACTCCACCCTACTCTACCCTACCCTACTCTACTCTATCCTACTCTACCCTACCCTACTCTACTCTACCCTTCTCTACTCCACCCTTCTCTACCATTCTCTACTCTACTCCACCCCACTCTACTCTACTCTACTCTACCATACTCCACCCTACTCTACTCTACCCTACCCCACTGTACTCTACTCTACCCTACCCCACTCTACTCTACCCTTCTCTACTCTACCATACTTTACCATACTCTACCCTACTCTACCCTACTCTACCATACCCTACTCTACTCTACCTTTCTCTACTCTACCATACTCTATCATACTCTAATATACTCTACTCTACCATACCCTACTCTACCCTACCCTACCCTACCCTACTCTTCTCTACTCTACTCTACTCTACTCTACTCTACTCTACTCTACTCTACTCTACTCTACTCTACTCTACTCTACTCTACTCTACTCTATTTTTCTCTACTCTACTCTACTCTACCCTACTCTACCATACCCTACTCTACTCTACCTTTCTCTACTCTACCATACTCTACCCTATTCTATCATACTCTAATATACTCTACTCTACTCTACCATACTCTACTCTACCCTACTCTACCCTACCCTACCCTACTCTTCTCTACGCTATTTTTCTCTACTCTACTCTACTCTACTCTACCCTTCTCTACTCTACTCTACTCTACCATACTCCACCATACTCTACTCTACCATACTCTACTCTACTCTACCATACTCTACTCTACCATACTCCACCCTACTCTATTCTACCATACTCTACTCTACTCTACCATACTCTACTCTACTCTACCACACTCCACCCTACCCTACTCTACCATACTCTACTCTACTCTACCATACTCCACCCTACTCCACTCTACTCTACCCTACTCTACTCCACCCCACTCTACTCTACCCTTCTCTACTCTACCCTACTCTACCATACTCTACTCTACTCTACCATGCTCTACTCTACTCTACCTTACTCTACTCTACTCTACCATACTCCACCCTACTCTACCCTACCCTACTCTACTCTACCCTACTCTACCCTACCCTACTCTACTCCACCCTACTCTACCATACTCTACTCTACTCTACTCCACCCTACTCTACTCTACTTTACTCTACCCTACTCTACTCTACCCTACTCTTCTCTACTCTACCATACTCCACCCTACTCTACTCTACCCTACCCTACTCTACTCTACCCTACTCTACCCTACCCTACTCTACTCTACCCTTCTCTACTCTACCATACTTTACCATACTCTACCCTACTCTACCCTACTCTACCATACCCTACTCTACTCTACCTTTCTCTACTCTACCATACTCTACCCTACTCTATCATACTCTAATATACTCTACTCTACCATACTCTACTCTACCCTACTCTTCTCTACTCTACTATACTCTACTATACTCTACTCTACTCTACTCTACCCTACTCCTCTCTACTCTACTCCACTGTACTCTGCTTTAGCTGGTTTTGTCTCTGTGATGGAGGACAGAGACAGCCCACCTGGTTAGCCCACCTGGTTCCTCACTCTGCCATGTCTCTGGTTGCAGCCTGTAACGTGCTGTACATAAACTCTGTGGAGATGGAGTCGCTCACTGGTCCTCAGGCTGTGGCCAAAGCCATCTCTCACACTCTGGGCTCCACAGCGCCCCCTGCTGCCACCGTGGTGCACTTTAAGGTGACGGGACAGGGCATCACGCTCACGGACAACCAGCGCAAGTAAGTGTGTGTGTGTGTGTGTGTGTGTGTGTGTGTGCCTGTGTGCCTGTGAGAGAGAGTGTGTGTGTGTGCTTGTGAGAGAGAGAGAGTGTGTGTGTGTGTGTGTGTCTGTGTGTGCTTGTGAGAGAGAGAGTGTGTGTGTGTGTGTGTGTGTGTGTGAGAGAGAGAGTGTGTGTGTGTGTGTGTGTGTGTGTGAGAGAGAGAGAGAGTCTGCGTATGTGTGTGTGTGTGTGGGAGAGAGTGTGTGTGCATGTGTGTGTATGTGAGAGAGAGAGAAAGAGTGTGTGCGTCTGTGCAACCAAAATTACAATTAGTTTATTTAAAAAGTTCCTAATCTTACAGTGTGTGTGTCTGTGTGTGTGTGTGTTTCTGTGTGTGTGTGTCTGTGTGTGTGTGTTTCTGTGTGTGTGTGTGTGTGTGTGTGTGTGTGTGTGTGTGTGTGTGTGTGTGTGTGTGTGTGTGTGTGTGTGTGTGTGTGTGTGTGTGTGTTGCAGGGTGTTCTTTCGCAGACATTACCCGTGTAACACTGTGACGTTCTGTGATACCGACCCCCAGGACAGGAAGTGAGTATGGACCAATCAGAGCGAAGCAGGAAGAGGTGGGAGGAGTCAAGAGGTTTATCATGGTTCTGTGTTTTACAGATGGAGCAAAGCGGACGGAGGCTCGGCCAAGTGAGTGACAGTGTGACATCACCACAGTGTGACATCACCACAGTGTGACATCACCACAGTGTGACATCACCACAGTGTGACATCACAGTGTGACATCACCACAGTGTGACATCACCACAGATTTGAGCATAAGCTGGAGATAGTTTCCTTATTTGGGCATTTGTTCTGACACCGTTAGCTTAGCGTGTAGCAGGGGCAGACATGTCGCTAAGATGTTTCTCAGGCTTTGGTCAATCCTTATGTGGCCCTAGAGAGAGAGACGAGAGATGTTCAAACTCCAACCATGAGCACTTCCCTATAGGCCTTCATTGAGCTAGCAGGTTAGCATTGTCAATGTCTATACAGGCTGTGGGAAACTCCAGTTTGCCCTAGCAACAGTCTTAGCAACACATCTCTCCCTACACATGTCCATATAAGGACACTGGCTCCACCTCTGTTCAAATCTATTAAAGCTAACACTGGTGCCTTTGGGGACAGACCCAAGATGGCGGACACTAAGATGAACTTGTTTCTTTGGGTTCCAGGTTCTTTGGCTTCGTGGCTCGTAAACAGGGCAGCACCACAGATAACGTCAGTCACCTGTTCGCCGAGCTGGACTCTGCTCAGCCCGCCGCCGCCATCGTTAGCTTCGTGTCCAAGATGATCTCAGCACAGAAGAGATGAGGACTCAGCTTCACCACCTCCTCCTGCTGCTCTCCTCCTCCTGCTCTCCTCCTCCTGCTGCTCTCCTCCTGCTGCTCTCCTCCTGCTGCTCTCCTCCTCCTGCTCTCCTCCTCCTGCTGCTCTCCTCCTGCTGCTCTCCTCCTCCTGCTGCTCTCCTCCTGCTGCTCTCCTCCTCCTGCTGCTCTCCTCCTGCTGCTCTCCTCCTCCTGCTCTCCTCCTCCTGCTGCTCTCCTCCTGCTGCTCTCCTCCTCCTGCTGCTCTCCTCCTGCTGCTCTCCTCCTGCTGCTCTCCTCCTGCTGCTCTCCTCCTCCTGCTGCTCTCCTCCTGCTGCTCTCCTCCTGCTGCTCTCCTCCTCCTGCTCTCCTCCTCCTGCTGCTCTCCTCCTGCTGCTCTCCTCCTGCTGCTCTCCTCCTCCTGCTCTCCTCCTCCTGCTGCTCTCCCTCCTGCTCTCCTCCTGCTGCTCTCCTCCTCCTGCTGCTCTCCTCCTCCTGCTGCTCTCCTCCTGCTGCTCTCCTCCTCCTGCTCTCCTCCTCCTGCTGCGCTCCTCCTCCTGCTGCTCTCCTCCTGCTGCTCTCCTCCTGCTGCTCTCCTCCTCCTGCTGCTCTCCTCCTGCTGCTCTCCTCCTGCTGCTCTCCTCCTCCTGCTGCTCTCCTCCTGCTGCTCTCCTCCTGCTGCTCTCCTCCTCCTGCTGCTCTCCTCCTGCTGCTCTCCTCCTGCTGCTCTCCTCCTGCTGCTCTCCTGCTGCTGCTCTCCTGCTGCTCTCCTCCTGCTGCTCTCCTCCTCCTGCCTGCTCTCTCTCCTCCTGCTGCTCTCCTCCTGCTGCTCTCCTCCTCCTGCTGCTCTCCTCCTGCTGCTCTCCTCCTCCTGCTGCTCCTCCTCCTCCTGCTCTCCTCCTGCTGCTCTCCTCCTGCTGCTCTCCTGCTGCTGCTCTCCTGCTGCTCTCCTCTCTGCTGCTCTCCTCTCCTCTCCTCGCTGCTCTCCTCCTGCTGCTCTCCTCCTGCTGCTCTCCTCCTCTGCTGCTCTCCTCCTGCTGCTCTCCTCCTGCTGCTCTCCTCCTGCTGCTCTCCTCCTGCTGCTCTCCTGCTGCTCTCTCTCCTGCTGCTCTCCTCCTGCTGCTCTCCTCCTCCTGCTGCTCTCCTCCTGCTGCTCTCTCCTGCTGCTCTCCTGCTGCTCTCCTCCTGCTGCTCTCCTCCTCCTGCTGCTCCTCCTCTCTCCTCCTGCTGCTCTCCTCCTGCTGCTCTCCTCCTCCTGCTGCTCTCCTCCTGCTGCTCTCTCCTCCTGCTGCTCTCCTCCTGCTGCTCTCCTCCTGCTGCTCTCCTCCTGCTGCTCTCCTGCTGCTGCTCTCCTGCTGCTCTCCTCTCCTCTGCTGCTCCTCCTCCTCCCGCATCTCCTCCTGCTGCTCTCCTCCTGCTGCTCTCCTCCTCCTGCTGCTCTCCTCCTGCTGCTCTCCTCCTGCTGCTCTCCTCCTGCTGCTCTCCTCCTGCTGCTCTCCTGCTGCTGCTCTCCTGCTGCTCTCCTCCTGCTGCTCTCCTCCTCCTGCTGCTCTCCTCCTGCTGCTCTCCTACTGCTCTCCTGCTGCTTCCCGCTTTGAGAACTCTTTGAGAAGGAGTGTGTTCTGTGGACGTCAGGGTGGAACTGAGGAAGTGCGAGAGAGAGAGAGGGGGGACGGTTTGAGAGCGCGCACATGAGGGGAACGACGGCGATTGTCGCGCACAAGGTTTGAATCAAAGATGAAAAAGGACAAAGTAAAGTCTTCACTGAACTCCAGGATCGATGGAATGTTCCAGAGACAGACGTAGCTCTATAAAGACTTAAAGCTGATGTGTGTAACTTTTACCTGCTGCTGTTTGTTCAAAAACCAGACGCAGACTGTACAGATGGAACTGTTTCTGTCACTCTGCTTATTCCTGCTGTTTTCTTAAAACCAGAAGTGAGCCCAAACAACCGACCAATCAGGAGCCTTTTTCTGGATTATAGCTGCATTCACCTGAAACACTCTGCATGTTAAGTCCTGACTCTGGGACCAGCAGGAGACCAGTCCCTGTGCTCCTCAGAGTCCCAGCAGGAGTCCAGTCCCTGTGCTCCTCAGAGTCCCAGCAGGAGTCCAGTCCCTGTGCTCCTCAGAGTCCCAGCAGGAGTCCAGTCCCTGTGCTCCTCAGAGTCCCAGCAGGAGTCCAGTCCCTGTGCTCCTCAGAGTCCCAGCAGGAGTCCAGTCCCTGTGCTCCTCAGAGTCCCAGCAGGAGTCCAGTCCCTGTGCTCCTCAGAGTCCCAGCAGGAGGCCAGTCCCTGTGCTCCTCAGAGTCCCAGCAGGAAGCCAGTCCCTGTGCTCCTCAGAGTCCCAGCAGGAGGCCAGTCCCTGTGCTCCTCAGAGTTGGTTCATATGTCACTAACATGTACCAGATGTACTTTGGTGAGACCAGGACTAATTTTACTGATGTGATGTTGCTGTTCAGATCTGAGTCCACTCCTACAGTCTATGGTCCTGTTCCATTCTGCTCCTCTGGTCCTCTCCTCTGGTCCCTCTCCCCTGGTCTGATCCTCTCCTCTGATCCTCTCCTCTGGTCCCTCTCCCCTGGTCTGATCCTCTCCTCTGGTCCCTCTCCCCTGGTCTGATCCTCTCCTCTGGTCCCTCTCCCCTGGTCTGATCCTCTCCTCTGGTCTGATCCTCTCCTCTGGTCTCTGGTCCCTCTCCTCTGGTCTGATCCTCTCCTCTGGTCTGATCCTCTCCTCTGGTTTGATCCTCTCCTCTGGTCTCTGGTCCCTCTCCTCTGGTCTGATCCTCTCCTCTGGTTTGATCCTCTCCTCTGGTTTGATCCTCTCCTCTGGTTTGATCCTCTCCTCTGGTCTCTGGTCCCTCACCTCTGGTCTGATCCTCTCCTCTGGTCTCTGGTCCCTCACCTCTGGTCTGATCCTCTCCTCTGGTTTGATCCTCTCCTCTGGTCTCTGGTCCCTCTCCTCTGGTCTGATCCTCTCCTCTGGTTTGATCCTCTCCTCTGGTTTGATCCTCTCCTCTGGTTTGATCCTCTCCTCTGGTCTCTGGTCCCTCTCCTCTGGTCTGATCCTCTCCTCTGGTCTCTGGTCCCTCACCTCTGGTCTGATCCTCTCCTCTGGTCTCTCTGGTCCCTCACCACTGGTCCCTCACCTGGTCCTCTCCTGCAGCTGCCTCTGTCATAATCTAAGCTTTATATAAATGATATATTTATTATTTCTGTGTCCTGTAAAGTCGACACAGAGCTCCATGGTCTTGGACCGTTATGGTCTTGGACCTTTATGGTTTTTGTCACTGATACTTTTGAATGTTCACGTTTCTCGGGGAGGTCTGTATGTTTTTGTAAAGAGGGGACATATATTTTGTATCTGAAAATTATTTTTGGCCGAGAATATTGTATTTTGTTTGTCCAATGGAAGCACTTAAAGTACCAGTATTATATAGTGTTGTTTGCTGCAGGCTCTGGCGCCCTCTTCTGGTGGAGCTGCGTCACTACAAGAGCATTACTGTAACTTACTGTAACCAAAACACTGAACACTACATTAAAGTTAAAGGACCAGAAAGAAAGACGTTTGGTTTTCTGTTCGACGAATGAAGAAAGAGAAGACTGAAGCAGAGACTGAAGCAGAGACTGAAGCAGAGACTGAGGCAGAGACTGAAGCAGAGACTGAAGCAGAGACTGAGGCAGAGACTGAAGCAGAGACTGAAGCAGAGACTGAAGCAGAGACTGAAGCAGAGACTGAAGCAGAGACTGAAGCAGAGACTGAAGCAGAGACTGAAGCAGAGACTGAAGCAGAGACTGTGGCAGAGACTGAAGAGAGACTGTGGCAGAGACTGAAGCAGAGACTGAAGCAGAGACTGAAGCAGAGACTGAGGCAGAGACTGAGGCAGAGACTGAGGCAGAGACTGAGGCAGAGACTGAAGCAGAGACTGAAGCAGAGACTGAAGCAGAGACTGAAGCAGAGACTGAGGCAGAGACTGAGGCAGAGACTGAGGCAGAGACTGAGGCAGAGACTGAAGCAGAGACTGAAGCAGAGACTGAAGCAGAGACTGAAGCAGAGACTGAGGCAGAGACTGAGGCAGAGACTGAAGCAGAGACTGAAGCAGAGACTGAAGCAGAGACTGAAGCAGAGACTGAGGCAGAGACTGAGGCAGAGACTGAAGCAGAGACTGAAGCAGAGACTGAGGCAGAGACTGAGGCAGAGACTGAAGCAGAGACTGAAGCAGAGACTGAAGCAGAGACTGAAGCAGAGACTGAAGCAGAGACTGAGCAGAGACTGAAGCAGAGACTGAAGCAGAGACTGAGGCAGAGACTGAGGCAGAGACTGAGCAGAGACTGAAGCAGAGACTGAAGCAGAGACTGAAGCAGAGACTGAGGCAGAGACTGAGGCAGAGACTGAGGCAGAGACTGAGGCAGAGACTGAGGCAGAGACTGAGCAGAGACTGAAGCAGAGACTGAGAGAGAGGCAGAGACTGAGGCAGAGACTGAAGCAGAGACTGAAGCAGAGACTGAAGCAGAGACTGAGGCAGAGACTGAAGCAGAGACTGAAGCAGAGACTGAGGCAGAGACTGAAGCAGAGACTGAAGCAGAGACTGAAGCAGAGACTGAGGCAGAGACTGAAGCAGAGACTGAAGCAGAGACTGAGGCAGAGACTGAGGCAGAGACTGAAGCAGAGACTGAAGCAGAGACTGAAGCAGAGACTGAGGCAGAGACTGAGGCAGAGACTGAAGCAGAGACTGAGGCAGAGACTGAGGCAGAGACTGAAGCAGAGACTGAGGCAGAGACTGAGGCAGAGACTGAAGCAGAGACTGAAGCAGAGACTGAAGCAGAGACTGAAGCAGAGACTGAGGCAGAGACTGAGGCAGAGACTGAAGCAGAGACTGAAGCAGAGACTGAGGCAGAGACTGAGGCAGAGACTGAAGCAGAGACTGAAGCAGAGACTGAAGCAGAGACTGAGGCAGAGACTGAAGCAGAGACTGAAGCAGAGACTGAAGCAGAGACTGAAGCAGAGACTGAGGCAGAGACTGAGGCAGAGACTGAAGCAGAGACTGAAGCAGAGACTGAAGCAGAGACTGAGGCAGAGACTGAGGCAGAGACTGAAGCAGAGACTGAAGCAGAGACTGAAGCAGAGACTGAGGCAGAGACTGAAGCAGAGACTGAGGCAGAGACTGAAGCAGAGACTGAAGCAGAGACTGAGGCAGAGACTGAGACAGAGACTGAAGCAGAGACTGAGGCAGAGACTGAGGCAGAGACTGAAGCAGAGACTGAAGCAGAGACTGAGGCAGAGACTGAGGCAGAGACTGAAGCAGAGACTGAAGCAGAGACTGAGGCAGAGACTGAAGCAGAGACTGAAGCAGAGACTGAAGCAGAGACTGAGGCAGAGACTGAGGCAGAGACTGAGGCAGAGACTGAAGCAGAGACTGAAGCAGAGACTGAGGCAGAGACTGAGGCAGAGACTGAAGCAGAGACTGAAGCAGAGACTGAAGCAGAGACTGAGGCAGAGACTGAAGCAGAGACTGAAGCAGAGACTGAGGCAGAGACTGAGGCAGAGACTGAAGCAGAGATTGAAGCAGAGACTGAAGCAGAGACTGAAGCAGAGACTGAAGCAGAGACTGAGGCAGAGACTGAGGCAGAGACTGAAGCAGAGATTGAAGCAGAGACTGAAGCAGAGACTGAAGCAGAGACTGAGGCAGAGACTGAAGCAGAGACTGAGGCAGAGACTGAGGCAGAGACTGAGGCAGAGACTGAGGCAGAGACTGAAGCAGAGACTGAAGCAGAGACTGAGGCAGAGACTGAAGCAGAGACTGAGGCAGAGACTGAAGCAGAGACTGAAGCAGAGACTGAAGCAGAGACTGAGGCAGAGACTGAGGCAGAGACTGAAGCAGAGAAGCAGAGACTGAAGCAGAGACTGAAGCAGAGACTGAGGCAGAGACTGAAGCAGAGACTGAAGCAGAGACTGAGGCAGAGACTGAGGCAGAGACTGAAGCAGAGACTGAGGCAGAGACTGAAGCAGAGACTGAAGCAGAGACTGAGGCAGAGACTGAGGCAGAGACTGAAGCAGAGATGTATTGTACATGTTTTTAGCGAAAACCTGGAGGAAACCTACACAGACATAGGGAGAACATGCAAACTCCACTCAAAACGGCAACCCTGAACCTTCTTACTGAAGAGAGAGAGTGCTAGCTACTCAGCCACCAAAAATCAGGTCCAAACCAGGGGTAAAGGTGGTTTAGACTGTAAATAATGGCAGGTGCATGTCCTGTAATGAGGTGGAGTGTCCAGCAGGTGTCACTGTTGCCCTGAGAATCACACTTCACAGGAGGCGCTTGTTTTAGGGCGGAAGTCTCTTTCAAATGTCACATTAGTATTCTGCTCTCTCTGGTCTCTCTCTGGTCTCTCTCTGGTCTCTCTCTGGTCGCTCTGGTCTCTCTCTGGTCTCTCTCTGGTCTCTCTCTGGTCTCTCTCTGGTCTCTCTCTGGTCTCTCTCTGGTCTTTCGCTGGTTTCTCTATGGTCTCTTTCTGGTCGCTCTGGTCTCTCTCTGGTCTCTCGCTGGTCTCTCTCTGGTCTTTCTCTGGTCTCTCTCTGGTCTTTCGCTGGTTTCTCAAAAAGGACAAAGTAAAGTCTTCACTGAACTCCAGGATCGATGGAATGTTCCAGAGACAGACGTAGCTCTATAAAGACTTAAAGCTGATGTGTGTAACTTTTACCTGCTGCTGTTTGTTCAAAAACCAGACGCAGACTGTACAGATGGAACTGTTTCTGTCACTCTGCTTATTCCTGCTGTTTTCTTAAAACCAGAAGTGAGCCCAAACAACCGACCAATCAGGAGCCTTTTTCTGGATTATAGCTGCATTCACCTGAAACACTCTGCATGTTAAGTCCTGACTCTGGGACCAGCAGGAGACCAGTCCCTGTGCTCCTCAGAGTCCCAGCAGGAGTCCAGTCCCTGTGCTCCTCAGAGTCCCAGCAGGAGTCCAGTCCCTGTGCTCCTCAGAGTCCCAGCAGGAGGCCAGTCCCTGTGCTCCTCAGAGTTGGTTCATATGTCACTAACATGTACCAGATGTACTTTGGTGAGACCAGGACTAATTTTACTGATGTGATGTTGCTGTTCAGATCTGAGTCCACTCCTACAGTCTATGGTCCTGTTCCATTCTGCTCCTCTGGTCCTCTCCTCTGGTCCCTCTCCCCTGGTCTGATCCTCTCCTCTGATCCTCTCCTCTGGTCCCTCTCCCCTGGTCTGATCCTCTCCTCTGGTCCCTCTCCCCTGGTCTGATCCTCTCCTCTGGTCCCTCTCCCCTGGTCTGATCCTCTCCTCTGGTCTGATCCTCTCCTCTGGTCTCTTGTCCCTCTCCTCTGGTCTGATCCTCTCCTCTGGTTTGATCCTCTCCTCTGGTTTGATCCTCTCCTCTGGTCTCTGGTCCCTCACCTCTGGTCTGATCCTCTCCTCTGGTTTGATCCTCTCCTCTGGTTTGATCCTCTCCTCTGGTCTCTGGTCCCTCTCCTCTGGTCTGATCCTCTCCTCTGGTTTGATCCTCTCCTCTGGTTTGATCCTCTCCTCTGGTTTGATCCTCTCCTCTGGTCTCTGGTCCCTCACCTCTGGTCTGATCCTCTCCTCTGGTCTCTGGTCCCTCACCTCTGGTCTGATCCTCTCCTCTGGTCTCTCTGGTCCCTCACCACTGGTCCCTCACCTGGTCCTCTCCTGCAGCTGCCTCTGTCATAATCTAAGCTTTATATAAATGATATATTTATTATTTCTGTGTCCTGTAAAGTCGACACAGAGCTCCATGGTCTTGGACCGTTATGGTCTTGGACCTTTATGGTTTTTGTCACTGATACTTTTGAATGTTCACGTTTCTCGGGGAGGTCTGTATGTTTTTGTAAAGAGGGGACATATATTTTGTATCTGAAAATTATTTTTGGCCGAGAATATTGTATTTTGTTTGTCCAATGGAAGCACTTAAAGTACCAGTATTAGTCTGTCCGTCCGGAGGAGCGGATCCCTTTCTCATATGGGTCTCCCTCCCTGTGGGTTTCCCTAGTTCTCCTCCAAGGTTTCTCACTTTTTCCCACTGGGTTTTTTAAGAGTTTTTCCTTGTGGATGCAGGAGGGTCTTGTTGGACAGTTAGTGTCCAACAGAAAGGATTGGTGATGATCAGGACACTTTAGCATTCTACAACATGTATGGACATTTTCTTCTGTGTGTGCTTTATACTGTATTCTTCATGTGTTTTAACTGTTGATTCTCTGACCTGTGTTGGTGATTTCAATGGTTTTGTTAAGTCTCTGAGATGACTTCTGTTGTGACCTAGGGCTATACAAGAATAAATTGTATTGTATTGTATTGTACCAGTATTATATAGTGTTGTTTGCTGCAGGCTCTGGCGCCCTCTTCTGGTGGAGCTGCGTCACTACAAGAGCATTACTGTAACTTACTGTAACCAAAACACTGAACACTACATTAAAGTTAAAGGACCAGAAAGAAAGACGTTTGGTTTTCTGTTCGACGAATGAAGAAAGAGAAGACTGAAGCAGAGACTGAAGCAGAGACTGAAGCAGAGACTGAGGCAGAGACTGAAGCAGAGACTGAAGCAGAGACTGAAGCAGAGACTGAAGCAGAGACTGAGGCAGAGACTGAGGCAGAGACTGAGGCAGAGACTGAGGCAAAGACTGAAGCAGAGACTGAAGCAGAGACTGAAGCAGAGACTGAAGCAGAGACTGAAGCAGAGACTGAGGCAGAGACTGAAGCAGAGACTGAAGCAGAGACTGAAGCAGAGACTGAGGCAGAGACTGAGGCAGAGACTGAGGCAGAGACTGAGGCAGAGACTGAAGCAGAGACTGAAGCAGAGACTGAAGCAGAGACTGAGGCAGAGACTGAGGCAGAGACTGAGGCAGAGACTGAGGCAAAGACTGAAGCAGAGACTGAAGCAGAGACTGAAGCAGAGACTGAAGCAGAGACTGAAGCAGAGACTGAGGCAGAGACTGAGGCAGAGACTGAAGCAGAGACTGAAGCAGAGACTGAAGCAGAGACTGAAGCAGAGACTGAGGCAGAGACTGAGGCAGAGACTGAAGCAGAGACTGAAGCAGAGACTGAGGCAGAGACTGAGGCAGAGACTGAAGCAGAGACTGAAGCAGAGACTGAAGCAGAGACTGAAGCAGAGACTGAGGCAGAGACTGAAGCAGAGACTGAAGCAGAGACTGAGGCAGAGACTGAAGCAGAGACTGAGGCAGAGACTGAAGCAGAGACTGAAGCAGAGACTGAAGCAGAGACTGAGGCAGAGACTGAGGCAGAGTCAGAAGCAGAGACTGAGGCAGAGACTGAAGCAGAGACTGAAGCAGAGACTGAGGCAGAGACTGAGGCAGAGACTGAAGCAGAGACTGAAGCAGAGACTGAAGCAGAGACTGAGGCAGAGACTGAAGCAGAGACTGAAGCAGAGACTGAGGCAGAGACTGAAGCAGAGACTGAAGCAGAGACTGAAGCAGAGACTGAAGCAGAGACTGAGGCAGAGACTGAAGCAGAGACTGAAGCAGAGACTGAGGCAGAGACTGAGGCAGAGACTGAAGCAGAGACTGAAGCAGAGACTGAAGCAGAGACTAAAGCAGAGACTGAAGCAGAGACTGAGGCAGAGACTGAAGCAGAGACTGAGGCAGAGACTGAAGCAGAGACTGAAGCAGAGACTGAGGCAGAGACTGAGGCAGAGACTGAAGCAGAGACTGAGGCAGAGACTGAAGCAGAGACTGAGGCAGAGACTGAGGCAGAGACTGAAGCAGAGACTGAGGCAGAGACTGAGGCAGAGACTGAGGCAGAGACTGAAGCAGAGACTGAGGCAGAGACTGAGGCAGAGACTGAAGCAGAGACTGAAGCAGAGACTGAAGCAGAGACTGAGGCAGAGACTGAGGCAGAGACTGAAGCAGAGACTGAGGCAGAGACTGAGGCAGAGACTGAAGCAGAGACTGAGGCAGAGACTGAGGCAGAGACTGAAGCAGAGACTGAAGCAGAGACTGAAGCAGAGACTGAGGCAGAGACTGAAGCAGAGACTGAAGCAGAGACTGAAGCAGAGACTGAGGCAGAGACTGAGGCAGAGACTGAAGCAGAGACTGAGGCAGAGACTGAGGCAGAGACTGAAGCAGAGACTGAGGCAGAGACTGAGGCAGAGACTGAAGCAGAGACTGAGGCAGAGACTGAGGCAGAGACTGAAGCAGAGACTGAAGCAGAGACTGAGGCAGAGACTGAGGCAGAGACTGAAGCAGAGACTGAAGCAGAGACTGAAGCAGAGACTAAAGCAGAGACTGAAGCAGAGACTGAGGCAGAGACTGAAGCAGAGACTGAGGCAGAGACTGAAGCAGAGACTGAAGCAGAGACTGAGGCAGAGACTGAGGCAGAGACTGAAGCAGAGACTGAGGCAGAGACTGAGGCAGAGACTGAAGCAGAGACTGAAGCAGAGACTGAAGCAGAGACTGAGGCAGAGACTGAGGCAGAGACTGAAGCAGAGACTGAAGCAGAGACTGAGGCAGAGACTGAAGCAGAGACTGAAGCAGAGACTGAAGCAGAGACTGAGGCAGAGACTGAGGCAGAGACTGAGGCAGAGACTGAGGCAGAGACTGAGGCAGAGACTGAAGCAGAGACTGAAGCAGAGACTGAGGCAGAGACTGAGGCAGAGACTGAAGCAGAGACTGAAGCAGAGACTGAAGCAAGACTGAGCAGAGACTGAGCAGAGACTGAAGCAGAGACTGAAGCAGAGACTGAAGCAGAGACTGAGGCAGAGACTGAAGCAGAGATTGAAGCAGAGACTGAAGCAGAGACTGAAGCAGAGACTGAAGCAGAGACTGAGGCAGAGACTGAGGCAGAGACTGAAGCAGAGATTGAAGCAGAGACTGAAGCAGAGACTGAAGCAGAGACTGAAGCAGAGACTGAGGCAGAGACTGAAGCAGAGACTGAGGCAGAGACTGAGGCAGAGACTGAAGCAGAGACTGAAGCAGAGACTGAGGCAGAGACTGAAGCAGAGACTGAGGCAGAGACTGAAGCAGAGACTGAAGCAGAGACTGAAGCAGAGACTGAGGCAGAGACTGAGGCAGAGACTGAAGCAGAGACTGAAGCAGAGACTGAAGCAGAGACTGAGGCAGAGACTGAAGCAGAGACTGAAGCAGAGACTGAGGCAGAGACTGAGGCAGAGACTGAAGCAGAGACTGAGGCAGAGACTGAAGCAGAGACTGAAGCAGAGACTGAGGCAGAGACTGAAGCAGAGACTGAGGCAGAGACTGAGGCAGAGACTGAAGCAGAGACTGAAGCAGAGACTGAGGCAGAGACTGAGGCAGAGACTGAAGCAGAGACTGAGGCAGAGACTGAAGCAGAGACTGAAGCAGAGACTGAGGCAGAGACTGAAGCAGAGACTGAAGCAGAGACTGAGGCAGAGACTGAGGCAGAGACTGAAGCAGAGATGTATTGTACATGTTTTTAGCGAAAACCTGGAGGAAACCTACACAGACATAGGGAGAACATGCAAACTCCACTCAAAACGGCAACCCTGAACCTTCTTACTGAAGAGAGAGAGTGCTAGCTACTCAGCCACCAAAAATCAGGTCCAAACCAGGGGTAAAGGTGGTTTAGACTGTAAATAATGGCAGGTGCATGTCCTGTAATGAGGTGGAGTGTCCAGCAGGTGTCACTGTTGCCCTGAGAATCACACTTCACAGGAGGCGCTTGTTTTAGGGCGGAAGTCTCTTTCAAATGTCACATTAGTATTCTGCTCTCTCTGGTCTCTCTCTGGTCTCTCTCTGGTCTCTCTCTGGTCGCTCTGGTCTCTCTCTGGTCTCTCTCTGGTCTCTCTCTGGTCTCTCTCTGGTCTCTCTCTGGTCTTTCGCTGGTTTCTCTATGGTCTCTTTCTGGTCGCTCTGGTCTCTCGCTGGTCTCTCTCTGGTCTTTCTCTGGTCTCTCTCTGGTCTTTCGCTGGTTTCTCTCAGGTCTCAGTGGAACCGGACTCTTCGTCTGAGCGTGTGTCCAGGGTAAAAATAACGACTTAGGTCAGAGGTCAGAGGGGAGAGAGGTCACATGATCTCATAGGGGGACTCACACCTGCTCAGAACCAACTCTGAGGGAACAAGAACCAGAGAGAGACCAGAGAGAGACCAGAGAGAGACCAGAGAGAGACCAGAGAGAGACCAGAGAGAGACCAGAGAGAGACCAGAGAGAGACCAGAGAGAGACCAGAGAGAGACCAGAGAGAGACCAAAGAGAGACCAGAGAGAGACCAGAGAGAGACCAGAGAGAGACCAAAGAGAGACCAGAGAGAGACCAGAGAGAGACCAAAGAGAGACCAGAGAGACCAGAGAGAGACCAGAGAGAGACCAGAGAGAGACCAGAGAGAGACCAGAGAGAGACCAGAGAGAGACCAGAGAGAGACCAGAGAGAGACCAGAGAGAGACCAAAGAGAGACCAGAGAGAGACCAGAGAGAGGCCAAAGAGAGACCAGAGAGAGACCAGAGAGAGACCAGAGAGAGACCAGAGAGAGACCAGAGAGAGACCAGAGAGAGACCAGAGAGAGACCAAAGAGAGACCAGAGAGAGACCAGAGAGAGACCAGAGAGAGACCAAAGAGAGACCAGAGAGAGACCAGAGAGAGACCAAAGAGAGACCAGAGAGACCAGAGAGAGACCAGAGAGAGACCAGAGAGAGACCAGAGAGAGACCAGAGAGAGACCAGAGAGAGACCAGAGAGAGACCAGAGAGAGACCAGAGAGAGACCAAAGAGAGACCAGAGAGAGACCAGAGAGAGACCAAAGAGAGACCAGAGAGAGACCAAAGAGAGACCAGAGAGAGACCAGGGAGAGACCAGAGAGAGACCAGGGAGAGACCAGAGAGAGATGTTTGGTGACTTTGCATAAACTTGAGAATTGTCTTTTGTTTCACTGTTTTCATAAAAGTCATTTTGTGGTCGTTTCCAAAACCCACATGATAAATCTAGTCTTTCCTCTTTTCTCTGGAGCAGAAAAACCTGGACCTGGACCTGGACCAGGACCAGGATCTGGACCTGACCACGACCAGGACCTGGACCTGGTGTTTTTAAACGTAGCCGTGGACGAAACCAGACCCAAGAAAGAGCAGTGTTTGGATCTGTCAACTCTGGTCACATGACTCTGAACTGGGATCTACTGGGTCTAACCTGGGATCTACTGGGTCTAACCTGGGATCTGCCCCCTGCTGTAGCGCCCCCTGCTGTAGCGCCCCCTGCTGTAGCGCCCCCTGCTGTAGCGCCTCCTGCTGTAGCGCCCCCTGCTGTAGCGCCCCCTGCTGTAGCGCCTCCTGCTGTAGCGCCCCCTGCTGTAGCGCCTCCTGCTGTAGCGCCCCCTGCTGTAGCGCCCCCTGCTGTAGCGCCTCCTGCTGTAGCGCCCCCTGCTGTAGCGCCCCCTGCTGTAGCGCCTCCTGCTGTAGCGCCCCCTGCTGTAATGCCCCCTGCTGTAGCGCCTCCTGCTGTAGCGCCCCCTGCTGTAGCGCCCCCTGCTGTAGCGCCTCCTGCTGTAGCGCCCCCTGCTGTAGCGCCCCCTGCTGTAGCGCCTCCTGCTGTAGCGCCCCCTGCTGTAATGCCCCCTGCTGTAGCGCCTCCTGCTGTAGCGCCTCCTGCTGTAGCGCCCCCTGCTGTAGCGCCTCCTGCTGTAGCGCCCCCTGCTGTAATGCCCCCTGCTGTAGCGCCTCCTGCTGTAGCGCCCCCTGCTGTAGCGCCCCCTGCTGTAGCGCCTCCTGCTGTAGCGCCTCCTGCTGTAGCGCCCCCTGCTGTAATGCCCCCTGCTGTAGCGCCTCCTGCTGTAGCGCCTGCTGCTGTAGCGCCCCCTGCTGTAGCGCGCCCTGCTGTAGCGTGCCCTTAAACCTCTTTAAAGAGCTTTCAGCTCGTTCCAAACACAGCAGCAAAGGCAAAGATCTGAACAGGCTCCAACAGGAGGAGCACATCACTCCTGTGTTTACATCACTGCACTTCCTGCAGCACAGAATAACGTTTAAAACCCTTCTTTTAACAAACAAAGCAATGGCTTCTTCTTCTGTTCAAGACACGTCGGTGTCAGAGTCTGCTGGGTCCTAAAGAGTCACAACACCAGAGTCTGCTGGGTCCTAAAGAGTCAGAACACCAGAGTCTGCTGGGTCCTAAAGAGTCAGAACCCCAGAGTCTGCTGGGTCCTAAAGAGTCACAACACCAGAGTCTGCTGGGTCCTAAAGAGTCAGAACACCAGAGTCTGCTGGGTCCTAAAGAGTCACAACACCAGAGTCTGCTGGGTCCTAAAGAGTCAGAACACCAGAGTCTGCTGGGTCCTAAAGAGTCACAACACCAGAGTCTGCTGGGTCCTAAAGAGTCAGAACACCAGAGTCTGCTGGGTCCTAAAGAGTCAGAACACCAGAGTCTGCTGGGTCCTAAAGAGTCAGAACACCAGAGTCTGCTGGGTCCTAAAGAGTCAGAACACCAGAGTCTGCTGGGTCCTAAAGAGTCAGAACACCAGAGTCTGCTGGGTCCTAAAGAGTCAGAACACCAGAGTCTGCTGGGTCCTAAAGAGTCAGAACACCAGAGTCTGCTGGGTCCTAAAGAGTCAGAACACCAGAGTCTGCTGGGTCCTAAAGAGTCAGAACACCAGAGTCTGCTGGGTCCTAAAGAGTCACAACACCAGAGTCTGCTGGGTCCTAAAGAGTCAGAACACCAGAGTTTGCTGGGTCCTAAAGAGTCACAAGACCAGAGTCTGCTGGGTCCTAAAGAGTCAGAACACCAGAGTCTGCTGGGTCCTAAAGAGTCAGAACACCAGAGTCTGCTGGGTCCTAAAGAGTCAGAACACCAGAGTCTGCTGGGTCCTAAAGAGTCAGAACACCAGAGTCTGCTGGGTCCTAAAGAGTCAGAACACCAGAGTCTGCTGGGTCCTAAAGAGTCAGAACACCAGAGTCTGCTGGGTCCTAAAGAGTCAGAACACCAGAGTCTGCTGGGTCCTAAAGAGTCAGAACACCAGAGTCTGCTGGGTCCTAAAGAGTCAGAACACCAGAGTCTGCTGGGTCCTAAAGAGTCAGAACACCAGAGTCTGCTGGGTCCTAAAGAGTCAGAACACCAGAGTCTGCTGGGTCCTAAAGAGTCAGAACACCAGAGTCTGCTGGGTCGTAAAGAGTCAGAACACCAGAGTCTGCTGGGTCCTAAAGAGTCAGAACACCAGAGTCTGCTGGGTCCTAAAGAGTCAGAACACCAGAGTCTGCTGGGTCCTAAAGAGTCAGAACACCAGAGTCTGCTGGGTCCTAAAGAGTCACAACACCAGAGTCTGCTGGGTCCTAAAGAGTCACAACACCAGAGTCTGCTGGGTCCTAAAGAGTCACAACACCAGAGTCTGCTGGGTCCTAAAGAGTCAAAAAGCACTATCGGTGGCAGAGCATTTAGCTCCAAGCTCCTTCACTGTGGAATTAGTTTCATCCACATTAAAGAAGCTGACACAGTCTCTACATTTAAGGCCAGGCTTACAACACTCTTCTTCAGTTTAGCAGATGGTTAGGTTGTTTGTCTTGTCTGGTCTGGTCTGGTCTGGTCTGGTCTGGTCTGAGTCTGCGTATGTTGGACCCGGTCCGCTGCATCTTCAACCCTACGTTCTAGGCTAGGCTAAAACAGTCCTCTTTAGTTTAGCATATGGCTAGGAAGGTAAGACTCAGGGAAGGCTAAACTCCTCAGACTGTCAGTCAAGCTGCATAGGGAGCCCCCTGCTGGAGAAGTATGGTAACTTGAGCTCTCCTCCGTCCTACTTTATCTGTTTAGCATTTTTAGGATTTTGACTGTAGTTTGTTCATTGCTATTCACCCGTTGTCCCATTGTCTGTTTCATGGTACGATGACGGGATCTCTGAGCCTGGCCTCCTCGATCTGCGCCTGCGGACTGCCCCGCCCGACCCGCCTGGGAGTGCTTCAGTCTCTCGACCCTAACCCTCTCTCTGGTCTCTCCCTGGTCTCTCTCTGGTCTCTCTCTGGTCTCTTTCTGGTCTCTCTGGTCTCTTTCTGGTCTCTCTCTCTGGTCCCTCTCTCTGGTCTCTCTCTGGTCTCTCTCTCTGGTCCCTCTCTCTGGTCTCTTTCTGGTCTCTCTGGTCTCTCTCTGGTCTCTCTCTCTGATCTCTCTGGTCTCTCTCTGGTCTCTCTCTCTGGTCTCTCTCTGGTCTCTCTCTCTGCTCTCTCTCTCTGGTCTCTCTGTGGTCTCTCTCTGGTCTCTCTCTGATCTCTCTCTCTTTGGTCTCTCTGAGAGAGAGTAGAGTTCAGGTCTGGGTCCAGTAGAGCCCTACTCTAAATCTGGTAAAGGCCCCAGACCAGACCAGACCTGGTCAGTGAGTGAGAACAAAGAGGAGATGGGTCAGTGGTCAGATCGCTCTGCTCTGTTTCTCACCAGATTCTAATGAAGCTACAGACCTCTCACCTGGTCCTACCATGACCATCTACATGTATGTCCTGGTCCTACCATGACCATCTACATGTATGTCCTGGTCCTACCATGACCATCAACATGTATGTCCCGGTCCTACCATGACCATCAACATGTATGTCCTGGTCCTACCATGACCATCTACATGTATGTCCTGGTCCTACCATGACCATCTACATGTATGTCCTGGTCCTACCATGACCATCTACATGTATGTCCTGGTCCTACCATAACTATCTACATGTATGTCCTGGTCCTACCATGACCATCAACATGTATGTCCTGGTCCTACCATGACCATCTACATGTATGTCCTGGTCCTACCATGACCATCAACATGTATGTCCTGGTCCTACCATGACCATCTACATGTATGTCCTGGTCCTACCAGGACCATCTACATGTATGTCCTGGTCCTACCATGACCATCTACATGTATGTCCTGGTCCTACCATGACCATCAACATGTATGTCCTGGTCCTACCATAACTATCTACATGTATGTCCTGGTCCTACCATGACCATCAACATGTATGTCCTGGTCCTACCATGACCATCTACATGTATGTCCTGGTCCTACCAGGACCATCTACATGTATATCCTGGTCCTACCATGACCATCTACATGTATGTCCTGGTCTTACCATGACCATCTACATGTATGTCCTGGTCCTACCATGACCATCTACATGTATGTCCTGGTCCTACCATGACCATCAACATGTATGTCCTGGTCCTACCATGACCATCTACATGTATGTCCTGGTCTTACCATGACCATCTACATGTATGTCCTGGTCCTACCATGACCATCTACATGTATGTCCTGGTCCTACCATGACCATCTACATGTATGTCCTGGTCCTACCATAACTATCTACATGTATGTCCTGGTCCTACCATGACATCAACATGTATGTCCTGGTCCTACCATGACCATCTACATGTATGTCCTGGTCCTACCATGACCATCAACATGTATGTCCTGGTCCTACCATGACCATCTACATGTATGTCCTGGTCCTACCAGGACCATCTACATGTATGTCCTGGTCCTACCATGACCATCTACATGTATGTCCTGGTCCTACCATGACCATCAACATGTATGTCCTGGTCCTACCATAACTATCTACATGTATGTCCTGGTCCTACCATGACCATCTACATGTATGTCCTGGTCCTACCATGACCATCTACATGTATGTCCTGGTCCTACCAGGACCATCTACATGTATGTCCTGGTCCTACCATGACCATCTACATGTATGTCCTGGTCTTACCATGACCATCTACATGTATGTCCTGGTCCTACCATGACCATCTACATGTATGTCCTGGTCTTACCATGACCATCTACATGTATGTCCTGGTCCTACCATGACCATCTACATGTATGTCCTGGTCCTACCATGACCATCAACATGTATGTCCTGGTCGTACCAGGACCAGCTACATGTATGTCCTGGTCCTACCAGTACCATCTACATGTATGTCCTGGTCCTACCATGACCATCAACATGTATGTCCTGGTCCTACCAGGACCATCTACATGTATGTCCTGGTCCTACCATGACCATCTACATGTATGTCCTGGTCCTACCAGGACCATCTACATGTATGTCCTGGTCCTACCATGACCATCAACATGTATGTCCTGGTCCTACAGGACCATCTACATGTATGTCCCGGTCCTACCATGACCATCAACATGTATGTCCTGGTCCTACCAGGACCATCTACATGTATGTCCCGGTCCTACCATGACCATCAACATGTATGTCCCGGTCCTACCATGACCATCAACATGTATGTCCTGGTCCTACCATGACCATCTACATGTATGTCCTGGTCCTACCATGACCATCTACATGTATGTCCTGGTCCTACCATGACCATCTACATGTATGTCCTGGTCCTACCATGACCATCTACATGTACATCTGGTTCTAATCTTAAACTGTGAATATTACAGCCGTAGTCACGCCGATCTGTGCCGTTCAAACTAATGTGACATCACTTTCTCCGTCTATGGCAGTTTCAAAATGGCCGCCGGTAAAATGTGAAAAACACATTTGTGCGTCAGCTGCACGAGCCCCATTTAACGAGTGCATTCTAAAGACCACAGCGGCCAAACTAGACTGATCCAAAAACATATACTAGGACCAAGACCCACTTCAGGACCAAGAACCACTTTAGGACCAAGAACCACTTTAGGACCAAGACCCACTTTAGGACCAAGACCCACTTTAGGATCAAGACCCACTTCAGGACCAAGACCCACTTCAGGACCAAGACCCACTTTAGGACCAAGATCCACGTTAGGACCAAGATCCACGTTAGGACCAAGAACCACTTTAGGACCAAGACCCACTTCAGGACCAAGACCCACTTTAGGACCAAGACCCACTTCAGGACCAAGACCGACTTTAGGACCAAGACCCACTTCAGGACCAAGACCCACTTCAGGACCAAGACCCACTTCAGGACCAAGACCCACTTTAGGACCAAGACCCACTTTAGGACC